TTTACATAGTAATCTAACTCCTACTTGTTATGTTCTGAGCGTGTTTATATTGTGATCGACTTCCGAATCGTTGTTGGGGTCGTCAAACGTGTCCAGCTGTTCAAACATAACAAAGAGTAAACAACTACCTGCGTAACATGCGGTGAATAAAAAAAATATGAAGATTAGTGCTCTTGTTAAGCAAATTTTGAAATTAAGTTTGATACTGGCTTTCTTACTAATGTATTCGGACACCGAAATATTAGTGCAATTTATTGCCGATAAACTATACCATATGTCTATACCTAGATATACATATTGCATCTTTAATAAAGCCTATACATGTTTAGATTCAAGTGATATTTCACTCGTAGATTTGTTTGCCATGTTGAATTATAAAGCGCCCTCTATAGGTCAGTTATCATATTCAATTTGTTGACGTTGGGTAACTTTAGATGCACTAGATACAATTCACACACTGACAGATATTACACCATAATACAAAAGCTATGTTTATTGCATACACTAGAAACATATTTTATAATTTTAAAATTTCTGGCTAAAATTTTGTATAAAGCTGTGAAAATTATAATTCTTTTTGGACATACACAGAATGTAAATCAATATTAAATCAAAAATAGACAGTGTTCTTACTATCAAATACCGTTGTCTGGACATGATGGAGCAATTTATTTTGTTTATCCAAAATCGTTAAATCGTGTGACATAGCTAATTTTAAATTGAGGGGGGATTTTCTGAATATATAAACAAATTATCCAAATAATAGTGTAAATTACAGAAAGAAATTATGTTTAAAAGTTGAAGAAATACGATAAATAAACAGGATACTTCCGTATTTGAAAGTGAAGCATCGCATTTCACAATCTACAGTAATAACCACCAACTGCAGCTTGTATTCAAAATACTGAGCATGATGCTCATTTTAGCACTAATCTTAGTACTCATCAAACAATCTTAATTGTTGCTGCAAAACCATGGCAACTTGTGAAACAATGAGGAAGGTATTTGATCATGTCGATGATTATCTTGTAAATGTATGTTATGAATAATTACGCGATAACATTCTACTGATTTACTCATACTCTTGAAATTTCTTGATCACATACAGAAAAAAAGGAGTTAAAAACCTTAAATAAATTGTTAACTCGTGTAAAGCGTTATGCATGTTTTAATTGCAGTAAAACACACTGCAAATATTTTTTTTTTCAATCACTTCAGATCTCATACGTTGACTATGGTAATTAGCGCCCGCAACGTTCGAATAGAGATATAATGTACTGTTACATTTGTTATCGGTTTTTTCACATTCGTAAATTTTGTGTGTGATCAGAAAATTCATTGTTAATAAACTATTAACAATAGTGTATTTATATGATATACTCCAAGTGTTAATATATGTTTTTACCTTCCTGGTGTGGTATACTACATACTCCAAAACTTCCAGGTACTGAGCAATTAAGGAAGATTGCAAATTATGCACCAACATACATTTATTTTGCCCGGTTTCTGTAATAATATATAAAACGTTATTTAAAGCTCAAATACGACGGTGTATTCTATGCAATCATATTGCCTGCACTTCAATATCCGCGTATGATTATATAAGTTAACGAATAGTTGCTTAACGAAACTAATAGACGCGACAACTGTCAATTAACTGGATATTGGCATGTATTAGTGTGAATGTGGAAGTATGAAATACAGATTTTATAGAATAAGTAGTGATAGATGTGTGTTAACCATGTTATATAATCTGAATTGTAAAACTATTGGTCTTTAAAACACGTATTTCAAATATATCAAATGTTAGGCCTATGGGTATGTTGTCTTGTGCGCCATTTTGTATTCCATGAGATGAAAGGTCACATAACAAAATATGGCAACATTGTTTTTCATATCCTGCATTTGATAACAAACACTAATATCAATGCTGTATACTTATAGCGTGAATTACACATGATACCACCATTTACCTACATAACTAAAGCACTATTGCCCCAATAGCATTTTGTGCCCATCCACATAATATGTGTAAATGACGTGTATTTATAATAATTGGCAATTCGCAGGTAACATGTAGTTTAATTTTAAATTTAATTAAGTTTTATGAATAAAAGTGTCATATTTCGATATGTGACACCACGGAGCTCGATATAAAAGTTATTAAATGACGTAATTTCATTTTTGAATTGAAAAAAATGAAAAAAAATTAAAAATACCCCAGAAATTATTAATCAATCAATAATATGATTTCAGATATTTGATAACATTTTTAATTAGATATTTGTATTGCAAAATATATGTCTGCCTTGATAAATGATTGTATCACTTATTCCACTACATGAAAATACTTCTCCTAGAAGAAGTCATTGTACGCAGCATTGTTCATTATGTACCACTATACATAACATGATAATCTGTATAAATGCTACAACTTCCTTGACATCAGCTTCAATCCCTATAGGAGTTAAGTTTGTTTCTTATGAAAGAAAATATTTTCAGCTATATTCTAGCATCAAATTCTTCATTTGTTTTGTAAAATTGACTAGAACCAAACAAAAAAAATCAATGTACATAGATGTGCAAAATGTGCAGTAACGCTGGTTTACTTGGGTACAAAGGTCAAACCGTTCAGACCACTCAGTGTTCAATATAGGGGTGAACAACCTCCTTTATATTCACATGCAAATGAATTGAAAATGCCACT